AGCCCCTCTGTGGTCACCATCTGCCCCGCAGGCAGCGCCTCCATCTCCATTAACACGGTGGGTTTCTGTAAACACCGAGCTGTCTCCATGGCTGCCTTCATCTTCCTCGTTCTGAAAACTGCCCCGATAAGACCCTTCCTGCACCTCCTCCTCAGCTTCACCAGAGTCCCTCCCGTTAGAAAGAGGAGTCCTCGCCGATCGAGGTGAAGGGTTGGCTGACTCGGCGCTCTGTGACGAAGCTGGGCTGAACAAAGAGTCATGTGATTCTGACAGGTGAGGCCTGAAAGGCGACTGAAGAGGCGTCTCCGAATCACTGGAGGGCGTGTCTGATAAAGTTCTGGAGAGGCGAGTCTTCTTTGGGGGATCCTTTTTGTGCGGGGCAGTCTGAGAGCTGAAGGACGGAAAACAGTGGAGTTCATCAAATGTGCCGTTTTTAAAGAGTCGAGAATCAGATCTGTTCTGTCAATAAAAGTGGTTCAGATTSACCGCGACACGTTTACTTACCCCAGGTCTTTGTTGACAGGAGCTGACTGCAGGTACTGAAGCTCAGACGCTGTCAGGAACACGGCTGTAGAGCTGACAGCGCCACCCAGTGGGCTGGAGGTGCTCGCCTCTTTAGACTTCTGGGACTAAAGAAAACATGAAAGTTACAAAAAAACTGGGTTTGTCTTGATTTCTTATTTAAGTAATAGCCTGACATTTTACCAGCTTACTTTTCAGTTTGTCCAATGAAAATATCACAAACATAATTTTTAATTTGTTCATTTGTTGCTAGGCTAAACAGCAGCTGATTAAGAAAATCTGCACATGTGACTGCTATTTTACATTGGGGTCTTTGGTGAAATAAAGTTTTTCACCCTGAGACATGAAGTTTATAGTAAAACATTTTTGATGACAAACTATAGTYAGTCTAACTTTTCTCTCCAACATCAGAGTCAGCAACTTAGAGCCTGGTCYTGAAGTGGGGTTTTATTAAAGAGTTACAAATAGTTTAAAGGTGGCTCCTCAAACATTTGTGTCCAAYTCAACATTTTTAAATGTGGCTGTCATCATAGTAGGACAGCAAAGTTGATGTCAGGATAGATGTAGTGAGAAGATGAGCATCATGCTATGAGATAAAGTTTTTTATTTTTAGGGGGAAAAAAAGCTGTCAAAGTACAATTTTTTGCTTTTAGACTTTGCACTGTGGAGCGTTAAAGCTAAATGTCTTCATGTTACCTATTGTCACTGAACAATAGGGTTGAGTGTCAAGAAGCAGAGTCAAAAACGTTTACATAGGTTAAATGAGGTAGCTAAACAGAGTTTACGTTTACACACATACACAGATAATAGATTATATATATTTAAACTAGTAAATATGTGGTGTTAGTTTAAACATAGCTAAAACTAAACCATATACAACCATATACATTTGTGTATTACAAGGGTTAAAGCGAAAAAAAATATATTTTGACTGAAATATTTTTTCTAACACACACACACACACGCACGCACGCACGCACACACACGTTTAGGGGTGAGGCTAAAGTGTGGTATTTAACCGATAACGATTAATTTGACGATTAATCCCCTGGAGTCCCTGGACACCCTTATGTCCTAGTCACATGACCAATTTAATGGGAAAGATTTGCTCTTTGTAAAAATCTGTTACAAACTGTGTCAAAATTACAGACTTCAGGCTATACATCTAATTTTAAATTGTGTTGACAGATAAATAAATTACAGAACTTTTTTTTTATGTTTGTCATATTTGAAGCGGAGAGGAGCACCGATCAGACTGACCGGGGAAATATCCAGTCAGTCTGCCTGGTGGCATTAATCGTATTAATCGTCAAGTGCCAAAAAAACTAATCGATTAATGTTTTTCTGATGATTAATTGCAGACAATACGATTATGCTCAACCCTAGTTTTCAAACAACAGAGAGGTATACAGGTGGTGCTCTGCAAATATATCGGTTTATTCTCACTAACATTAAACCAGGAGCATCAGAAACATTGTAATGTGCGTGAAGGCTCACTAGAGGGGGGTCTGGTGGTCCTCACCCAGAAAACTTTGAATTTAGTAGATGCAATTTCCTGCATTCTGGTGTATTTTACAGGTTCCTAAACATACTTTTACCTACATAAAAACACTTGATTAAATAACTAAATTAGAGACACATTCTTCATTTAATTAGTTGCATCATCTTGTTTTTAATCTCACTGCTATAGCCATGATAATATTATTCATGTGACAAAATGATTCTCTAAAATTATTGTTTGTGATAAATTGTAAGTTTATATTGTTTATTCTTGATTTAGTTTTATTTGTAACAGAACATACCATTGTGCCAAGCAATGATGAGCCTCAACTGCATGTTTAAAACTAAGAACATTAAAAAAAACTTTACCCAGTAAACGGGTAAAATACTGATAACCACACACAGTGAATTTAGGAGGCATTTCTTTGCCTGATTTAGTGACAGGTCCACTCATAACAAGCTGACATGACATCATGCA